GGAGTCAGGAAATCAGTTCCTTTACCTCAGAGGCACACCTCTATGAGTCAAAGTGGCATACTGAGCTCAGAAGGACTATTTTCCTTCCTGAGATAGCTGAGTGGTTTCCCCTGAGGAAATGATTCAGAACAATATTTTCTTCAAAAACCAGAACACCCTTAAAGAAAAATTTCCTGCCAAAACATTTGTTTTCTTGGCATGGAGACAAGTGAAGCAGCCCCCTTACCCCCTCATGCCCCCTTGGCTTTTCTATGTCGTAGCGCCTGATGAGTGCTGTTGTACAGCTCCAGGCCCTAGGAGAATGGGTGCCCTTTCATCTAGAAACCCTCACAGTGCTCCATTGTGAGTCAGATGCCTGGCTGTCCCACAGAGAAAGGCCTGGACCATTGGGCTGGACCATCCAGCAGGGTCCACATGGTTGTGAAACCCTCTTCTAGCTCATCCCCTCTCTTGCTGTTCTTGGGACTCCTCAGGACTTGGGCATGCTGAGGAACCCCTCCTCTTCAAATAAGCCCAGGAGGGATGTTCTGAAGGCTGTTGTCTATGCTCAAGAAATACAGCTATTTGTAAATGGTTCATCTGCAATAGATACCAAGGCCAAATGCCTTCAGGGAGAACTGTAAACAGGGGAAAATGGGGTTGAACCCAAGCTTTCAGGGAAGGGGGGTGGGTGGGGAGAGAGAGAGAAGAAAACAGACTTCTTCTGGATTCTCCGGAATCAGTCAAGGGAAGGCCAGAAATGATGGTTGGATGGAATAGAAAAATCCCAAGCCAAGCATAAGCAGAGGACAGGCCTCTCTCAGGCCAATAGGCCAGACTCTGTAGCCAAGAGTTGAACACCACGTGAGATCATGATAAAGTTGTCAGTCAAAAGAAACTGCTTGTCCACTGTCTTGCAGTTTGTTGCACTTTGAATAAACAGTTGGAGCAATTTTTCCAGAGTAGCTGCCTCTTCTGGCCTGGAACATGAACGTGGCCATCACGGCCCAGGGCTGGGCTGGCAAGGGGCCTCCCTCTAGGGAGAACAGACCACCCACACCATTTGGGAGACCACTTTAGGCATGTCCAGGGGGGCCTTTGATGTGTTTATTATACCATAGATAGTGTTTTGAGGTCCCAAATCTTTATTTTGTTGGCTGTCATGTAAAAGACAAACAGTAGGAGAGACAAAAACTGTTTTAACTTAAGTAATAGCATAAGACTAAAAATGAAATCAACTTAATGTTATTAACAAAAATTGATTACATCTGCTAACT